AGCCCCATCTCAGACAGCTAGTTTTAATGTGTTAAGGTTTTGTGTGTGAATTTCTCCATTTGCTTAATGACATTTAGAGTACCAGTATTGTCTTTCCATTGAATTGCAGTACCTACCCTTGATACCCAGAATTTGAAAGTGTTGATAGGATTCAGTCCCTTATTAGATAAGTTGTTCGGTTTGCCACTTTTGATCAGACTGTTCAGCTCAAAGTGTGTTTTGTAATAGAGGTGTTTTGTGGGTATCATGTGTTGGTGGAATAGGTTTAACCTTGCAGTCATGGAGACATTCTCCTGGTCATTAGTTTCATTGAGAACTCTGTTCCGAATCTGATATGTGAGTAGTCTAGGCAGGTCATTTAACTATTTTAATTACTTTAAATACACAGCTTGCCTTTACATTTTATAAACTGTCTGCATTCAAATACAAAATACCACAACCAAAAAATGTTTTGTACATGAAGCATGAGTTTCCCCTAATTTTTAATTATTCCTTATGCATTTTAAGATTTGTTTCTTTGTTCAAAAAGACATGTTGTCCAAGCTTAAAGGAATTGAACCAAGGTCTGCCATTTTTGGAAAAGTATAATTATAGTTTTTCACATTTCGCAAGACAATAAAATGGTCGTTTAGCGAAACTTTGTTATAGGGTGTATGTTTGTTACAGATTGTCTATTTGTACTTACTTCCTATATTATGTATAACTTTTAAATGTGAAAATTGTGTTACTAAATACAAAAATGCTCTTTTTTTTTATGGCTGAAATACTATAATGAATCATATCATTTAGTTTGCTACTGTAAAAAAAAAAATTCTGAAATACATCGGAATGTCCCATTTCTTAAATTAGAAATTGGAAGCAAAATTACTTGTAAATTACATTATCCTTCAGTGCAAGTTTCTGTTTGGTTCCTTTAGATATACTATAGAATAAAAAATGTAGCAGGAAATTGAAAACATTTTATGCTAAGCTGATATCCTTTACTTGTTAGTACTATATTCACATACTGTATTTACAAGCTTGTAATCATCATTGGTGTTGCTGAACAAGAGCTAGAAATTTGTCTTGGTAACTTATGCCTGTGCACCTAGATATATCACTTTTGAATATTAATTTTTCATAGAAAGTAAAGGCATTCTTGATGTGTCTGTATATTTAAACTGTACATACATGCAAGTTGTTTCTCTAAACATCATTTTGACCTGAAAACTTTTCGTAGGTGTTTAAAATATGTGTAATGAAGAAAATGCTACCATGACATAAATTGATTCATGCTTCCAGGAGAATAACGTTGTAAATCTTACACTCCAGATGTATCTTTGAAATTTAAATTCAGCACAGTGTAAGTTATATGAAAGATATTTCTCCATCTCCATACTTTCATACCCCCTACTACTATAAAAAAGTTAGTGATGCCTCTAAATCAGTTAAGAAATTCAAAGGTATGATGCTGAATGCCAAAAGCTGGTAAAACACCAAAAACCATTAGGTCAATGTTCGTGATCAAAACTGTGATACACTGTAGACTTTTTGGAACATTATTCTGAATTTCAAATCATAGGTGTATAAAAATACCATTGAGAATCTGTCTTTTATTTGCCAAAAGTCACTGATCAGGAGAGTTTTATATAATACGTCTTGTCAGCTTGTCTGGAATATAACAATAGAAAAACATTTGTTTAGTCTAGCAATTCTTTTCTCTGAAATATTCTATTGGTTTTCAGAGCTTCACCAGCTTTTGATACTCAGTATGTTGACTTTGAAACTCTTTCAAAAAATGATTGTGTGTGTGTGTATGTGTGTTTGTATACACACATACACACACAATCATCAAACAATTGATCCGCTGTATAATACTGAATAATGAATTTGACGAAATGTCATAACATCATTAACATACCAAAATTAATTTAGGTTACTATATGGTGAAGTAAAACAGACTCAAAACCTCATAGACATTCAAAAAATGTTTTGTGATTTACCAACATACTTTATTCTATCAAAAACTTTTTATACTGGAGCTGTGCAAATATATATGTATGCATGTCATAGTGAGGCCCAGGCCACAAATTCTGGTATTGAACATGTGGCCAGACAAAAAATGGATCTGAAATACTATTTGAGGAAAGTGGGAAAAACCATGTACAGTCTTGCACAATTTTTATCACAAATATTAGGTTTATGAGATCATAAATAGCAAATATTTTGAAATTCAGATATTTTTACATATGTAAATAAAACATGCTCTTTGATTTTAGTTTGATACAATTAAATTTTTCATATGCATACAATGATGATACCTAGTTTATAGATGTACATACAGGTAACCATTTTCATTATTTCCAGTACTTTGTGTAAGTGGAGAAGAATGATAATACAAAACTTGTAAAAATTTGATTCTTATATATTAATTTATTTGCTGTATTTTTTGTCATAAGACTATATATGCTCGTAATATATATATATAGTAAACTAATAATGGATGGAGACGGCTTAAATGGGTAATG